TGTCAATATTTTGATTCTGAATCAATATATGTAAAGAACACATTTTCACCAAGTATTTTTATGCCAACAATATAATGAATCACATTTTGGGAGCAGAAAGTGAAATGTGGCACTTATCCGCAGACGATACGGACATATTGTAGATATAAATATAAACATATATGTACATATTTATATCATTTGGAACTCTGTGTATATATACATGCGATTGAAAATGTGTCTGTGTCTTGAGATTAAAAAAGAATCTATCACGCCAATTATGGAAATGTTAATTAGAACCCACGGATAGGTGTTGGAGAAAGCTTATCAAGTGTTTCGTGTTTCTCTCAAGTGTTGATCCAAGAATTTAGGGAGCGTCATTTGTAGACACTCCTTTTTTTTTTTTTTTGAAGAGGTTTTTGCTATAGGGCGTGTGCGCTCGCCAGACAGACAGAGAGAGACAGAGAGACAGAAAGCGAGAAATCACCTCCCAGGGGGAATGGCCATGCCGCAATCCCTTCTCCTCCATTCTCCTCTCGGGATCTTGGGCACACACACACACACGCCTGGCCTGAGTTTAAGCCACCAGGTCGGGGACTCGAACTGCGGTCGACTACATGGGAGTCCAGCGACACAGCCATTACGCTAACTGCTGGTCCCAATATGTAGACACTCCTTAACACTCACCAAATCCGAACCTCCAAAGCAGTTTTCTTATTATTGGTTAAATTAAGCATTCCATCCTTACACTGTGCTGGGCGACTTCATGTATTGTGTCATCGGAGAAATCCTGACACATTTTGCATAGAAAAGCAGAAAAACACGGCATGACTTTTCCAGTGACCCAGTATGTTAATTATAATCCGGAGTTTCACGAATGTTCTTCCCATTTATACAAATGAGATCATTAAAACTCAGAGAGGTGGATGAGCCCTCCCAAGGAGAGGGTCACGGACAGGACCAGAGAGATCAGCACGGTAAAGTCAAACTGGGCCTGAAGTGAAGAAAAAGGAACCAGAAGAAACAAGACGACTATGAAGTCAGCACTACGACTGTGACCCCAAGGAGAAAGGGCCGAAGTTCTCCCAGGCTGCAGCCAGCCTCCATCCGTGTCTGGATGAAGGTCTTCCGCTGGCCGCGGTGGCTGTGCTTGAGGCCCGCCTCCAGAGGAGTCGCTGAGGAGCGATGTTCCACCCTCCTGGCTGCTTTTGTCACCCAGAATCTGGGGCTGAGTACAGCGCAGTAACCGCTGACTGTCGGGCGCACGTGAGAAGGCCTCTGATGTCCCCAGACTCTGAGCCACCTCAGAGCTGCTGTGCTCGTGTGGCCCGGAGCTGGACCGCAGAGCTGGACCCCAGCGCTGTCAGGCATTTTCCCAGGTGGAAGGTCCTCTGGTAGCGTCATTCTGCACATCGGGTCACTCAGTGATGGGGACCCCGGGGGTCACAGACGTCTGGTAGCCGTCTCCTGTCACAGAGCTAGACGCCAGGCAGCGGGAAGTAGACTAGCACGCTCGGGGCCTCAGTCACTCCCCTTCCTGTTCCCGCAGTCTGTGCGCGTGGAGGT